GAGGAAGAGAGTTACGGGTATGGGTATGGACAAAAACTTGGTGGAAGTTGGGATTTAATATTCTCAAGTGGTAATGGGACTACCATAGGAAGACGTAGGGGAAGAAAATCCAAAGAATATGGAAGCGAAGAAGATGAGAAAACCAAAGAAAGAGTAAATAGCGTTTGAAGTTTAATCTCCTATTTTTGTTTTGTTTAGTTTTTAAAAATTATTTCGCATCAATTTAGCGACGCAATGAGCGAAGAGAAAGGATTAAGAATGATCCCTTTTACATCGAAGTAAACGAAAAGGAGTCATTAAAACGAACAAATTCCAATGGATCTTCCAATCGTATTGCGGAAGATATTGATATTGATTCTATACCTATTGTACACTTAATAATGAATGAATTTGATTTTAAACGTAATTATATTTTCAGTATGTTGTATATTATATTTATTTATTATATTGATTTTTAACGTTTTTGAACCTAATTCATATTTATTTCATTAGGTAATAAAAAATCATCAAAACTCAAAAAGTCCAAAGGTTCTAAACAAGGGAAACAGCAATCTTCATCTTCACCCCCCACATCACCTATTATATACACCGACGTTGGTGAGATGCCAGAGAATGCTACTTTATCAGATGAAGAAAAAGAAAAAAAATCTATTGAATTAAATAAATCGTGGGATACTTTATCAAAGAAAAATGGAATTTTGGACATAGATTTTTCTGGAATAGCAAACGTAGATTTGTCAACTCCACTAGGAGATAATGAAAAACTTCCACAGACAGCAGTTTATCTTTCTCCCGAAGAAGTAAGAAGACGAGAAGACGTAAGAGCCAGGCAAAGATTAGAAGAAAGAAGATTAATTTTGGCTAATGAACGGATTTCACGATCCAATAAGACCAAGGTGAATATTTCGTGATATTGACTAATACAAAGTCCATAAAGTATGTCACACGTTTTAACTTTTCAATTTCTACACTTTGAATAGAGTGATAAATCTAAGAGAGCTCTGAGAGAAAAATCAAATTCTAAAACCTCACCTAAGTCAAAAAATGTAGAAATCGATGAGAAACCTTCAAAAGCGAAGGTTTCATCAAGAAAAAAGCGAAAGGAAAAAGATCCATCAAAGGAAAAAGATCTATCAAAGCAAAAAGGAAGAAAGTCTGGTCAAAAGGTAACATTATTGATATAAGGATTAATTTATATATATTTTCTGGATTTAATTAACATAAAATTTGTTTATTATTCTTATTGTTCATTAAGAAAATGAAAAATACCGCGATATCTGAAATATCTGAAATATCTACTACATCAACAAAAATTAATACAGAAGTTGGTGTCGTAGAGATATACGATAATAAAACACCAGCCAAGACATTAGTTGATTCGGACGATATTCAAATAGTAAGTAAATTTTGTCTTTTAATAGTAAACGAATCTTTCTTGCAAATAAACTATTCACCTACTGCCTTGTCTCTTTTGAAGATCTACACGCTGAGTTTAGGATCTCTTACGGAAGTTATAAACGAACCACCAACTATAATTGTAGAGTTCTCTCTTCATAATAAAAGTTCTCTTCGTTCTCCACTTTCTCAGATAGCATTTTCATTTGAATCAACATCAGACATTCAATTTGATAATACATTTATAGAAATAGAGGATATGTTATATTATGATGGAAAAAAGGACGTGAGCGTTAAATTCAAAGTTCCGGGAATAGTGGGAGTGGGTTTAAGTGTGTCTGGAAATGTTTCATACACAATAAAGGTATAAAATTTCACTGTTCTAAATATTCATTTTTTTTTTTTTTGACATCTCGTATTCACAAAAAATTATTGATTTTTATAGTCGGATGAAGAAATCAAAACAAATAATGATATTCCTATCAGATTTGAATTACCTCTTCCGGTATTTATGTTAAATGTGCCTCGCATCACTTCAGAACAATTTTCCACTTTAATTTCTCAAACATCAGAGTTTCCATTCACTGGATCAACTACCATTCGTCTAAATACAAGTAATTCGATTGAACAAGCTTTTCAGAATGAATTAATAAGATTAACAACAATTGCTACCGGAACACATATTGTAGAACAAGTACCCGGAGCAATAACAATTTATGGTAAGAGTGTTCAAGGGTATCAAGTTGCAGGATTGGCTAAATTGACCGTTGAAGATGATTCCGGCATTACTAAAAAGGCGAGCATTAAGATTGATATTAAATGTACAGATCAAGCATTCGTGGATGGGTTGATAAGAGAAATTGAACAATTGTTTCGAGAAGAACTTTAATAATTTAATAATATTCTGTGCATTTTTTTTTTATATATTTGAACAAATTTCACGGACACATTCTTTTTTTTTTATCATAGAAAAATATAGAATGAACATATTAATCATATTTAAAATTCAAGTTTAAATTGAGTAAACTTTATATTAATTTATTAATTTATATAAACTGCATATCTTGTTTCATTTGATTATTATTATTTCTACCGATAAATCATAATTAATTTAACAATTGTTATCACTTCATAAAAGTCTTGAAGTTACGTCATTCGAACCAATTATTGTTGCAAAACGGAATTTATTTGTGGCAATACTTTTTTAGATTTTCAGTTAAGAAACAAGAAAAACGAAAGAAATGAAAGAAACGGGAAAAATAGAGGAATTGGATTCATAATAATTGAAATCAATGTTTTGATATCATATAACCATTCTTTGATCAATTGTAAACAATCAATGCAATAAATAAATGATAAAATATTTACATTTATTAATAGGATTTTGTAATTCCTGATGACATACCTTTCTTGAATCATTTGTTTGATACATTTATCTAAATGAAATTAAATCTTTAAATTTTGCATAGTTGAAGAAAATGAGATTCAGGGGATTTATTATTTTTTTGTCTTATACTTTTATTATTCATTTGATCACTAGAATTATAGAGTGTAACTTTTATTTAAAGCAGACCAGTTTAAAATAAATCATTAATGTCTTGATATTTCAAAAATCTAAATATTTATTATTTGTATTTATATAATTTATAAACTGTGCAAAGGTAAACTGAGTTAACTTTCTTTTTAACTTTGATAATTGATCATTTAATTGAAAATCATGTGTTATTTATTATATCAAAACTCATATGTTCTATCAAAAATAATTGCCATAATAAAGGAAAATAAAATACACAATTACTTCTTTAGAACAAAAATTAGTGTGTTTAATAATACAAAATAAAAATTACATGACCAAAATCATTTTTGCCTTTCATTAATATCCAGGCTGATCCAATAGGGTATAGGGAATCATGCCTGCGGAGAGCGTGGAATATACAAATTATTTATTAGTGCTTATTTTATTATGCCGAATTAATTTGGGAAGCGTGAACAAAAAAAAAAAAAAAGGCTTTGGATATATGATTGCAAATATTTTTGTGAACGGTATAGAGTTCGTTGACACCTGTAATAGAGAGTTTTCATCTTTGCGTCTATTTTGAAGTCAAATTAATTTTAGGAAGCGTGATACAAAGAAAAAAGAGTTTTCATCCTTCGCACAAAAATGGGTTTTAAGGTAGACACATGATTTATCAATATTATGGTAAACACCTTTCGAGCATAACCACACTGGAGGTAATATTATAATTTTCTAAACGTCGATTTTACATATTATTTATTATTTAAAATAAAGATACATGTTCATATTAAATATATTATACCAGTCTTCTGAACGATCCCATCGTTCAATAAAAGAGATTTCCTATAAATGAAGTTCATAAAAAAATATTATCTCATTATTTTACACTAAAGATTTTAAAAGGTAATTATAATTTTTAATAAGCGTCCAATGTTATATTTAAAAATAACTTTTATATTCTTATTCAATAAAAAATATACATACAATGTAATTTAGAATTATTAAATAAATATATACTTATATATATATATTTTAACAAAATATTTTATGTGGGTAATTAATGGTAATTAATGGCAATTATGTAATGATGATATTTTCCCTGTGTTGATAATTCCACATTGACAAATGAAATCTCTTGGTAAAATTATATTCTGTGAAAAGGATTTGAAGAATATCTCTTTGTATTTGCATTAAAAAGTATTTGAAATACTTGAATTTACATATTAATTCATCTATTAGTTGTAACGCGGTAGATTAGATTTTTCTAGTTTTAGCAAGCTCTTCTACGTGTTTATTGTTTTGACAGTTTCATTTTTGTACCTATTTCACAATTTAAACGAACGAGGTTAAAAAAAAACTAAATCTTTTTTCATGAAATTTATTTTTGAATCGTCCGTTATCATATTTATTATAAGATCGATAATATAACATTTTAACCAAAATTGTCTCTTCTTTGAATTCATTCAAAAGTTGCACCTAACTTATTACTATTACAAAATAGTCTCTCTCAAGTATAACTTAAGAAATAATTTATTAAATATTTCTAACGTCTTATCTACTTATCACTCATTAATCTCATAAAGCCAATAAATTTTAACATTGTCACTGTTCATCGAATTCATGAATACATTGCTTGATATGAATATAGATTTCTGATAATAATAATAATGAATCACAATCACAAAATGAAAAATGAAATATTAATATCAATAATATGTAAAGATGAAAATTGACCGAAAAATTTAAGATGCGAAACGTTACGACAAATTATTAGAGGAAGCACAAAATATTTGTTTTTACAAAAAAAAAAAAAGAGATGATTTTCTTTTTTC